TACAAAATAGCCATTTTGTTTCAACACCCTCGGTGTCTTATCAAGTGATGATGTTGAATGTAAAATAGATGGTTTTAAAAGTTTCAAATTAGTTAACGATCCTTCACAAGGGGAAAATGTAGTTACAAAAGCTAGAATGACCAATCAAAATACAAGTATAGGAAAATTCAAAAAGCTTGACAACGAAGTCATGTTATAATAGCTATTCAGATCTTTAAAATACGGATAACATTGAAAAAGAATTTATTCTAACCAATAATTATTAAATAATATGATAAAATTTGATATTAAAATTAAAAACTGCCAATTTGAAAATCCAAATTTAATCGCTATTAAGTTTAAAATTATAAAATTACTGAGGAAAAAAGAATAAATAAATATGTTATTCAATTTATTTCTTCGTTGAAATTACGTTAGAATAGACCCTACGTCATCCGTTCCTCTAACAATATATGTATACACTAATTATATATATATATATATATATATATTTGGTTGGATAGATGTGAGTTTGTGACCCTGGGTTTCACGTTTGTCTGACGAACACAAAAGCGTGAAACCTAGGGTCACAAACTCACATCTATCCAACCAAATATGTTAGCTCTATCTCTGATATTGAGCACTAAGTAATAAGTACCGCGTATATAATATATAAATAATTATACATATATATATTTATTTATATTTATATACACTCTTCACACACACACACACACACACACACACACACACACACACACACACACATACACAAATATATATATATATATATAACAGTGTCTCTGTGTGTGCGCGTTTGTGTGTGCATATATTTGTGTATGTATATATATATATAGACTTTAAGGAATTTCTGGAGGAAAGAAGGATTTCGCAAAAATAATGTTTCCTATGTTGTCATCCTAAGTTTCTTATATTGCTATCTATCTATCTATCTATCTATCTATCTATCTATCTATCTATCTATCTAAAGTTGTAGGTCAGAACAACGTCATACGAGCGAACAGATATTTATAAAAAAATTGCTCAGTAAAAGAATTCGAAAAAACTGAACGTATGGAGCAGACATTACCAAATTGGAGTATTTACCGTTTACACGACCCGGGTTTCAATCATAAGGGTTCTTCACCTGAAGAAACTTTATGGTTGAAACCAGGATAACTATGTAACAGGTAAATACACCAATTTTAATATATATATATATATATATATATATATATATATATATATATATATATATATATATATATATATATATATATGCAAGCAAATATATGGATATAGATCCGACAGTATGAAGAAAAAATATATACGGAAAAAAACAAACAAAATCCTTATTTACAATTATGCTGTTTTAATGTTAATATGTCAACGTCGGACGTTTCGGTCTAATAAACCATCTTCAGGACATATTCATAAAATATAATTAACATTATCAATTCAACATGACAAAGACGATTTACATAAGAACAAGACTTATCCAAACAGATAACTGAAAGTTTTATAAGATCAGCGCCCCGTTTAAAACATGGTCACGTTGTCATCACGTGGGCGACGCTGTGATGTATATGTCTGTGTATGTGTATGTACGTGTATATATATATATATATATATATATATATATATATGTATGTATATATGTGTGCGTGTGAGTGTGAATATATTTTTGAGCGTGTGCATATATATATATATATATATATATATATATATATATATATATGATATGCATGTGTGTCTGTGTGTGTGTATATAGTCTTTGATGAATTTCCTGAAGAAACAATGCATTTCATAAAAAGTACCTTTTTTTCTAAAGAGCCACCCATATATATATATATATATATATATATATATATATATATATATATATATATATATATTACAATAAACGTGCAATCAATTTACAAATACATGAATTATTCACACAAAACTAATGCAAAGGTTAATGGTTTAAATGGCGAGACATCCATCATCGCAAACAATTCAAATAGTACACAAAAACCTCCAGATCCGTTATGAACGAATTGATCCTTGTTTATATAAATTTCTGCCGTATTAGTTGTTATTTTACTACAAGCTTTCGTCTGTTCCTACAGACATCTTCAGGTATAGAATAGATGTTGTTCTTGTTTTTTCTCTTATTAGAGGACATCGAAAATATATGTGTTATTGTATCCGAAATGCTATTGAAAATGAGTTATTGGTTTTTGAACGCGCCAAAGCAATGAATTATTCACAGAAAAAAAATTAGTTTTGTGTGAATAATTCATGTATTTGTAAATTGATTGCACGTTTATTGTAATTTAAATAACTGATCCATGTGCGACTTTTAGATAATAAGTGCGACATTACTGTAATTATTGAACAATATAGTTCATGCCACTTTGACAGTAAAATTTACCAGTAAAAATTTGTTCATCACCATATTTGGTATAAACGCAAACACTTTAAAAAATTTAAAATCAAACTCAGCGTTGCTTTGGCGCGTTCAAAAACCAATAACTCA